CATCTTCTTGAGGGCTCAAATTGCTTCCGCATAGGTGGCTACGAGAGAGGCTTTGATGCGAAGATGAAACTTCGTATCTTATCAGCCAGGCTGCGTTTTCGGTATTGGCATATGCTTAGTCGTTCTTCACTTCACGTACACATTCTTTACAGTAGATAAATGATTAATCAACCTAACCATCTCGAAAGAAACTGATGCAGTCTTTTGCGATACGCGCCCAACCGCGATTTGCTATCTAGTAACCACTTGGTACTAAACTATTAGCCCACTCTTCCACATCCGAGAACTGATCCTCAACGTCGTCAGGTATGCCATTTCCATTGGCATCCGCCCACTGCTTTCCACCGTCGATAGTTCCAGGCCCAGCCATGGGGCTAGCATTCTCGTCACTAATCAGCTCACCCGTCTTCCCGTAGCTCTTCAATTCCTCAATGAGTCGCGTGTCAACAGCATCGCGCACTTTACTCGCACCGACAGAACTTTCGGCGAGCTTCAGCGCATCTTCCGCCGATAGGGTCTTTTCGGGCGCTGGGAAGGGAAACTTGGTTGTCTGGATAGCCATCCCTCCATAGTTGCTGGAGGACACACCTAGCTCCGTTCCGTCCAACGTGCCATCGCGGTTAGAGTCATAGAAGTTGCCTTCAACGTAGCCCTTGAAGTTCTCATTCCCGCGCGTAAACGCCGTGACGCTGGTACTGGGGCCGCTGATGAAATAATTCCCAACGATATTCGCCTCGCTTGCTGCACTCGAATCTCCAGCGATGTATCCTCCACCCCCGCCCCAGTTGTAGATCACGTTATTGGTGAAGTCATTGGTACCCTTGACCTTCGGGTTTCTCGTCTTGTTGTCAATGTATAAGTTGCGAAACAGACTGATACCTTTCCCGAGATTCGTTTGCATCAACCCGCCACACGAGTGTGTTTGCAGACCCTGCCCGATGATACTGTTTTGAATGGTGATGTTGCCGACGTCGTTGCCGGAGATCGAAAAAGTCTCGTCGCGACCCCAGGAGACGGAGACGTGGTCGAAAATCATGTTGCTCCCCTCTGCGATCGTTATACCGTCTTTTCCGCTAGCTCCTCCTTTTCCCATTCTGATGCGCAAATACCGGACGATTGCATCGTCGGCGTTGCTGAAACTCCACCCATTTCCGTAAACTGTGATACCATCGCCTGGTGCTGTTTGCCCAAGGATAGACACGCGTTTGGCCACGACCATGCGCTCTTTAATCTTGATCAACCCACCTAGCGAGAACACGACTGTGCGGTCGCTCTGGGAAACGCCCTCGCGGAGAGACCCTTCACCGCTATCATTGAGGTTTGTAACAACATAGACAGTGCCACCACGACCGCCGACAGCGTTTCGCCCAAAGCCTTCTGCGCCCGGGAAAGCGAGGGCGGCGACGGAGGATATTAGCAGGGGCAGAACAGTGCAGAAGATCATCTTCAAGGCGAAGAAAACGGGGTAGGAAGAATGTCGGAGACTGAAGGAAAAGAGATGTAATATGAAAGCTCCACGCGGCATGCGCAGAGGCGGCGAGATCAGCTAGCTAGTTCGTAGCGCGTTGCTGGTGAATGACACCTTGGATTACTCTCTTCATTTACCCCAGACGTTGTGATCGACAGGGTACCTAAAAGATAGTCCGCCAATCACAGCGGGGATGTGTTCGGACGGTAGGAAAGCATGGCACACAGCAAGAACCAATGAGTGCAGGTCTTGTGATGTGGAATCGTTGAATGCGCAGCTCGTACGGGCACGTACTTCGGGTTCTCGGTGTATTAAGCCCCATGGGTATATTTCTGCTTTCCCTAGTAAATGCTAGACCCGGTTTTGACACTTTCGGTAATTATTCCAACTTCGGCAAGTTCAGCAACCAAATCCATGAGCATGTGGTCGTAACCTGCCGCAGCTACCATACCAATGGTAACGGGGAGCGTTTCGTTTCTCTCAGTAACCCTGCTGACATACGTCCTGCAATGGTAGAGGTACGAAGTCAGTATATGTCTTAAATGCACTTCGTACAGTCAAGCTTACCTTGCGCCAATCGGTATTGTGTAGTCGGGTAGCGCAGCCAGAACTGACATCTGGTTGCCGGGTAATCCAGCAGCAAATATACCACCTGGAGCGGCTGTATAGATGTCGCGGTAGTCTTCCGTACCGGCGCCCATAGGATACAGCACCAACGTTGACTCGCATGATGGCGTCAACGTCTCTCGAAACCATGTCTGGAAGGTGTGCGTGCGCTCCATAGCAATGGTATAGCTAGAGGTCGGCAAGGTCGCGGCCCGATTCCATCGCGCTCGTGTTTGCGGGTTCCAGTAGGGCGCTTTGCCAAACTTGGCAATATACTGCTCCCTGGAAGGTAGACCAAGGTCGCGGTACTGATCCACGTTGGTAATGTTGGAGTATGTAGAGCCGAGATAGGATGCTATGCCTTCAGAGATGTTCGCGTATGCATTGAAACTGGCGTTAGCGTTGAACGTTGTCAAATTGGCGTCAAGAAAAGTAGCTAGCTGTGAGATGAACGAATCAAATATAGGCATACTCGTGCTGTTGACTGTAGGCCAAAACAGATCAGGCAAGATGATGCGCTTAGGGTAGGATGTGTATTCCTTGGCTGGGTACCATTTCCTATGCACTGCTTGGAGGAGCTTCGCCGACCTAGCCAGTACGCCCGGCGTATCAAATATTGCTGAGATGGGCAAGATTCCCTTCAGTGGCAGTGAGGCGTTGGTGATACGCATGCCAAACAGGCCGTTTGCCATGGCCGGTAAGCGAACAGAGCCTCCAGTATCGGAGGCAGTTGCAATATCCATCCAGTCATACGATGCAAGTCCAGCTCCAGAACCGGCTGATGAACCCTGGGGATGCTGGTAACCGTCTCCTCTAGGGTTGAAGGGTGCCAGCTGATCCACGTAGTCGGCTGTTGGTCGTTCCCCAAGCGCAAACTGGGTAGTCTTTGTCTTTCCAATCACCACCGCACCCATGTCGATAAGCTTTTGTAAAGCTGCCGCGCTCTCGGGAGCAGGATCGACAAGGTCGCGGTAGCCTCTATTCCCACCGCTCGTTCGGATACCCTTCAGATCGTAAATATCCTTCACGCCCAGGCGTTTACCCGACAAAGGCTTGTCTTCTGTGGGTGCTGGATAGTATAATCGTGACGGCACTGCGATACTAAGAGCTCCGTAGGCATCTGTCAACGCCAGACCTGTGACAGGAAGGAAAGTCCCATTCTGACCTTCAGTGACCGACTCCACAAAAGCGAAACTGTGATCCCAATACAACCGGTAGACTTTGGTGATAGCCTTTGATGGGTGAAGTAGATATGGGCCGGATGCTACGCCGGCGTCCAACGCAGTGTAGATCATGCTGCACCCGATCGAGCCAAGATATGCATGTGCATTGTCTGAAAGAGTGCTTGAACCGCCAAGCACTAGTGTATGGAGGAATGATTCCGAGTATACATCGTCGTGCGATAGAAATGAGGATATCGTGAACTCCAGTAGCTCCGCGGTGACAATAGGGTCCGAAAAGGTCAGATAAGTGATTGGCAAAGGCTCTGCGTTGGGACTTGACTGGTCGCCAAAGCTAAGCGTCGCTGCGGTAAGATCTGGAGAATAATACGACGTAGAGTTGAGTTGGAAAACCGTACTCGCTCTGACAAGAGCTGCAAGCGATAGGAACAGCGCGGCCTTCATGATGTGCGGCGCGCGGACTTCGTGGGGCAATGCTCATGAGGCAACCTGTCAGCTTTATACCAATGCATCTTCGGCTTGGTATCGTGTTTTCTGGAACGCAAAGTGCGTATGTCCGTTACATGTCTATCGCGTCCTGACGGCGGGTGCAGAAGTGGGAGAGATGGAGGTTAGCGCGACGATGATAATGCAGGCAAGACACTTGGCATGACGTCACGCGTGAGGAACGAGTCAGAATAGGCATCGTAGAGATAACGGTCAAGCAACATCCGCTAATTCACTGACAAATTGCCCGCCTGTAATGATAACACTTGCAGAATACTAAGGGTCGTTGTCTAGCTCACAGCGAATTCAGAACGAAGACTATTGGAGACGTGTCTACAGATGAACGATTGGCATAAAGGACCATCAGTTCGCAGTATCCTCTTAGCCTCTTGAGCGCTCCACGTCGGCTTAGGAAAAAGATAAACACCCTAGAGTCTACATTAAGGTTAGGTTACCTACTTTGCATATTTTAATCTTGATGTAATTTGCAGACCTGGTCGGATTGTTTCTTGCATGCAGTGACTCAACAGAAATAGTGGCCGTCGCGTCATAAGCATCAGATTAGGGATTGGAAGAGATGTGTATGGGTTTCAGAACAACGGTGAGGCACAGTCTCCTGAAGCGTAGACCTGCACCGGAACACGAGAAGCGACGGGAGTAATCGCTGGCCATGATGGGAAGGTGAACAGTTTGGGGCCCTAGAGACAATGGTGGAGTTTTCGAGGCCAGATTCGTGAAAATCAGGAAGGGCAACGCAGGCTTAGTGATGCACATGCTCATCAAGAACGGACACAAGTCTTTGTAATGCAGCTGCCTGAGATCTCCGCAGCCATATCGATGCTGCCTAGTAACGAAACGCCTACGCTATGCTTCTAGCAATGAACTAATGACGTGCGAAGTGTCTTCCGAAGACGACTGGAACTGAAGAACAAAAAGAACGATCGCAGAAGAGGACCCATTGCGTGGATCTATTGCGTCCCGCTGTAAGCAAAGAGCGACCAACTGCCTGGCAAACCCCTAACAGTTTCGCTAGAATGCTCTGGGTCTCTTTTGTGTGGCACGACTTGGAACCGGAGACGCACTTGGTCGTTTCCTTTGTACCAACGCGTCTTCTTCGAGCCCTTCTTCAGTCGTATGTTGCCCGTTGAACTCGCAACCGGGATCATCAATGTCTGCCTGACAGCAGTCCCATTTTATTGACCCGCCCGGTGGCCTGTACCTCTTCCCAGAATGAGAAACGCAGGGCGCATTCACGTCCACTATCTGTTCGTGACACACTGTGCAGGTCTTTATCAAAGGCGCAGGCTGTTTGTTGATGCTCGCTGACCGTGGCGTGTCTCTGGCCAACAGCCTTGGAGTCTGGTTGACAGAGGATGATTGGCCTGAGGGTTTCCGGACTGGCGTGCGTAACGTGGTTGAGCGTGGATAGGCTCCAGGAAGGTGCATGTCGCCGTCTGAACTTGACTGTGAGCGCTCACGTGGCTCCCGCTTCACTCGTGATGCGAACTCAGAACCATGAGGCCGTGATGTAGCTCGACTTCCGCTGATCTCGCGGGATTGTGCAGGCAAGCTGTTGTGACTTGGGGTCGGAACTGTAGGCTTCACGAGGTTTCTTTTCGCCGCCTCATAGAGTTCGTCGCTATCATCCTCATCTTGAATCTTGACCTTGGGCTGATGCGACTGCATCCGTTGCTGGCTGATCAGGCTCTGGGCGGATGCAGAGTGAGGCGCAAGTCCACGGACGAGGGCGCCGGAAAAGGCCGGTGACATTTGGCAAAGGTCGAGCAACACCTTTTGCACAGCGCGCGGGTCGGCTGTCTCGATGATCTGTTTGATATGCTCAGGGTGGATAGGGCGCGCCTGCTGTGGCCCTACAGGGTTTCGCGCGGAAGCCATCGGATGCCTAGCTTCCATCCCGACATTTGCCATACCGTAGGGGCGTGGCTCGGGCTTGAGGTACATTTGAACTAGTCTTTGGGGCGGCCTTGGCTGTGGCCGCTGTTGTGGTCGTTGCTGGGGCATGTCTTCCGGCTCTGGTGAGGAACCTGTGAGGTCGATTGTTTGGCAGCTATTGCCAGTTGTGTGTGATGGAGCCATTGCGAGGGAAAGAATGACCAGATACTGATAACCAAGAGCACCCAAAGTGAATAACTGATGTCAAAGCGCGGTCTGCGGAAGATTGGTCTCAGCGTCGCACAATGAATGAATTGCTGGGCTTGGAACGTGTGGATCCCGGGCCTCTTAGCGCGACACCAGCTCACGTGATCAACGCACGGCCCTGCGCAGGATCCTTCCCCACAAACCTCGACCTGCAAGAAGGAGGCGCGTCCGTCGTGCCCAACAACGCGTCAGCTTCAACACCATCAGTAATGCGATGCGCACGCGGCATCACTTCGGACCTCAATACTGCCTCCGTCAGCCCTCTGTAACACGCTACAATCAACCCAAATCAACGCACGGACGGCAACAAGATTCCCACCAACCGGCGCAATGCACATGCGCAGTCGTTGCGCGATGAGAGATTCACCGTCTGGGGTGCATACATCAATTTTCCGATGGCTTGCTTCGCCCGTTTCGACAGCTTTCATAGCGGGGAAACGACCCCGTAGCTCACTAAGCGGCTGTTCGGAGGTCTAGGTCAGACCCGGGGAGTCCGCCAATATAGTTTGCTTAGCCGGCATGCTGAAGTTATTATATGTATATGCATACTGCGCGCCTTCAGGCTAAGTTCTACATTCACTCACTCTTATACTTTCATTTTCAACTGTCCTACTTTGTCCACAATGCTCCCATCAATCGCTTTCGTGCTCACGCTCGCGGCATCCGCTGTCGCAGCTCCAACGACGCTGGCGCCTCGGGCTGGACGTACAAGTCCTCCTTCTGGATGTCTGGCTGTGGGTGGTAGCGGAAAGTACAAAACTGTTCAGTCCGCCGTTGATGCTTTGAGCGCTTCCAGTACGGCTGCACAATGCATTTTCATCGCGAAGGGTTAGTTCTAGCTGTACCAACTCCATGTGAGACATGTACTGACTTGGTGCTCCCGGTTCTGCAGGCACATACAAGGAGCAAGTCTACATCAAGCCGCTCAAGTCGGCTCTGACGGTTTACGGCGAAACGACAGACACTAGCAGTTACACCGGCAACACCGTGACCATCACCCAGGGCAAAAGTCAAGATGACGCCCCCAACAACGACGAAACTGCTACTCTCCGCGCCTGGACACCAAACCTAAAGGTCTACAACATCAACCTGGTCAACACACGCGGACAGGGCTCGCAAGCTCTCGCCCTTAGTGCTTATGCTGATAAGCAAGGCTACTACGGATGCCAGTTCAAGGGTTACCAAGACACCATCCTCGCCCAGCAGGGTAGCCAGGTCTATGCCAAATCCTACATCGAAGGAGCGACTGATTTCATCTTCGGCCAGAAGGCCATAGCATGGTTTGATGGTTGCTCTCTGGGCGTTCTCACAGCGTCGGTGGGTTACATTACTGCCAACGGTCGCGATTCAGATTCCAATCCCTCATACTATGTCATCAACAACTCGAAGATCGCCGCTGCTCCTGGTAACACGGTGAGCGCGGGTGCTTACTACCTCGGCCGTCCTTGGAGGAATTTCTCTCGAGTTGTGTTCCAGAAGACTAGCATGACTAATGTCATCAATGCCGCGGGATGGAAAGTTTGGAATACCGATGACCCCAGGACTGACAAGGTCACATATGCCGAGTACGCAAACACCGGTGATGGATCCAAGGGTACCAGGGCGTCCTTCTCAAAGAAGCTCTCGGCTGCCGTTAGCCCTTCCACTGTTCTGGGCAGCGACTACAAGAGCTGGGTTGATGCAGCTTACTTTTCCTAGGCCAAAATCTTGTAGAAAGATGCGGGCTAGGTTCGGTAGTACGTGAGAGTTGGTTTTCTTGTACATATATTGGGAACAATAAGTGTCTTCATTTCTATTCATACATTTACTTGCAACTGCACTTGCTTCTCAAAATCTTAAAAACGTGTCGGCAATATTGTGATCGGTATTACATTCGCAGTCTTGTGGCATGCGTGAGAAGATTCTAGCTGAAGTAAGCAAGGCTAGACACGGGCTACCGCCGAATGAGAGACCCACTAGTGGGTCACCGGACCATGGGTTTTTGCTCCGCATTGCTACGGCTTCTGCCCTTCCACTTCAACTTTGCAATCGCGAACATTTCGACAAAAGGTTCGAGATGTCTTATGGCACCATAGCCGACCCACCGCCGTCCGCAGGGCGCTCAAGGGTAAACTTCTTGCCACGCCTGCCATCTGCAGCTTCAGGCTCTGCGCAAGATACGGACGAGGAAGCCAATCCGCCAGGAATATGGAGCAAAATATCGCAGAGTCTGAAGTCATTCTACAGGCAGAATTTCGGTTTATTCTTAGTTTTCTTGGCACAGACATGCGGTTCTGTCGTAAGTTTTGTTTCTTGTGTGCAATGACTGCATGCCGCAGACCATGCACTTACAAATGAGCACTAGATGAACACAGCAGCCAAACTGCTCGCGAATGACCCATCCATCGAGTTTCACGCTTTGCAAATCATCTTCATCCGCATGCTGTGCACGACGATCATCTGCTCGATTTACTCTTGGTACCATGCGGTGCCTGACTTTCCTTTCGGCCAGAAAGGCATCAAAGGGCTGCTCATACTGAGAGGTACTGCAGGATTCGTCGGTCTATTTGGACTGTATTGTAGGTTTGACTCCCTCTGCAATTCTTCACGGCTCACGCCATATAAGATTGTGACCTGCAGGGGTGGGTCACGATAGTGAACTGGAATACAGCTAACAATACCGCCTAGACTCTCTGTCATGGCTTGAATTCTCCGACGCGACAGTAATAACTTTCCTAATCCCAACCATGACAGCCATTGTGTGCTTCCTATGGTTACGCGAGCCATTCACCTGGAAAGAAGCGCTTTGCAGCTTCGTCGCATTCTGCGGCGTTCTCTTCGTCGCGAGACCACCATGGCTATTTCCCGCTTCGCACTCAAGGCCAATAGCCGATGACTCGGACGGGCATGCACCGTTACCATCAACTACCACCGAACAACGCGCTCTGGCAATCCTCATCGCGATTCTAGGCACGCTTGGTGCTTCGACAGCCTACGCAACTATCCGAGTGATCGGCAAGCGCGCCCACTCGCTCATCTCGGTGAATTACTTTTCTCTCATCGCAACGATCGCCTCGTTCGTGCTCATCCTGGTTCACCCTTCGTTACATTTCGTCATGCCCAAAACGCTCGGTCAGTGGGGATTGATCGCCATTATTGGGCTCTTCGGGTTTCTGTTGCAATTTCTCTTGACGGAAGGCCTGCAGAGGGAGAAAGGTGGAAGAGCAACAAACTTGACGTATCTGCAACTTGTCTTCGCGCTTGTTGTCGAGAAGGTGATCTGGGGAACTACGCCGCCTGCTGAGAGCTTGGTGGGAGCCGTGCTTATCATCGGAGCGGCGATTGCGGTCAGTCTGCAGAGGTCGGGTGGGAAGGATGATAAGAAAGCTGAAGTTGTCGAAGAAGAGAGGAGGCTGTTGGAGGATGAGAATTGAGCTAAAGCATATTGGGTACGCGCGAGTGTATTATTATCATGTACATGCATTTGCATGACGTGACCTAAATTCTACCTCCATGCTTCACAACACTAGAACTGGCCTGCTATTGGGTATTCATCACCCGATTGTATTGGGCTTCATTGTCGACCGACGCTGGAAAGTAGTCTTGCGGCTGATGCGGCACCTGTTCTCACACCGATGATGATGATCAGGGCAGAACCACTCGCATGGTGCGTTACGTTGCAGTAGACGTGATCTGATGATAGACCACTCTACTGGCAACACTGGTGCCATAACCGAGACAGATCCGCAGCAGTCTGATCAGCGTCGCCGCTGTACCTATACCAAGCGTCAGCTTCTACTGACAGGCTCATGACTCATTGCGCTAGATCATGCTTTACACGCAATGTCGAATTTAAACCGCATCACCCTCATCTCTCGAATTGACATCACTGCTCGCTCTTTCTTCGTCTGTTCCTTGTCTCACAATGTGCTCTTCGCTTCCATTCATGCTTATGTCTATGTTGTCGATCTCATGCACAGTCCTCCTTTTGCCCTTTCTCTCAACATGCGACAAACGAAGGCTGTCTGGCAAATTCTGGCCCGAATTGTCGTTTGATGGCTTGACCGATGACATAGCTTTCCTTGCTTTACTGAGAAAGGGCTTGAGGATAGGTGCGTTGACAGCTAAGATTCCGACAAACTATGGCAAACATCAGCAAGGTCCTAGTGGCCTTAAAATTTGAGAGGCTCACTGTTTCGCGGATTGACCAAATGGTGCCAACGTTGATCTGGGAAACGTCTTGAAGACACAGGATGCAGCGGAGCAATGTTGCTGTCATCATGAAAACACCGGTGCATAACCAGACTCCGTACAGAAGCTTCCTTCTCAAAGGTAGTCGGACGTTCCAGAGTAGAGGTAGCGGGATATACAAGATCATGAGATCGGTGCTGGATGATTGTAAGTATGGTACAGAAGTGGACAGGCTCATTTCTAGAGCTACCCACGTTACATTCGTAACGACCAACGCCAGATATTTGGATATGTTGAGCGCGCAGTCATCACCTGGATATGGATATATTTGCCATAGTCGATAGATAGGGTGACAGTGTGTGAGGAACACGATGATAGTAGCGATGTAAGCTACAAGGCAGACTGCCCCAGTAATCTTGACGAGATTATGTTGCTGGAGGTTGAGCCTATTGCTATCAGCGGGGATCAATCTAAATTTGTAAAGTATACATACGTGAGCCTCCTGTAAAAGAACAGCATACAAGCTTTTACTGTGGTAACAGCCTATTAGTATGACCACATGGCCTCGAGTGCTCCGTTACCAAAGCATTTACGTACAGCACCATATCAGGGTCGTATATAGTATCCACCCTGCGAGAAGGTATTTACTACCCACAGTAACACGTTGGCTTTCCTCGGGTGTAAGTTGCAACGCGAGTTCGTTACTCATTCCAGTGATGGAGCCATTCTGGCCGATGAGCTCCAGCATGACAAGTTCAGCGGTGAAG